GCTCTGTTGAACACCTTAAGTTAGTTACTTCTTGTTCATTTGCATTTTAGCTTCTATACCTTTGTCGCTGTTGGGTGGGTTTGTGTCTTTTTTTAAAATCTCTTTACTGTAGTTTCGATTAGAGTTTAGGAAAAGGTAAAATTAGTGTGGAATTGCAGTTGGCCATCTTAATCTGGCACTCCCATTTAAAATATCTTGTAGTTCGTCCTGACTGGTTTGTCTCAGTGGATAGAGGGGCAGCCTTCAGACTGAAAGGTCCCAGGTTCGATTCCGGTCAAGGGCGTGTACCTTGGTTGCAGGCACATCCACAGTAGGAGGTGTGCAGGAGGCAGCTGATCGATGTTTCTCTCTCATCAATGTTTCTCTCTCATCGATGTTTCTAACACTATATCTCTCTCCATTCCTCTCTGTAAAAAATCAATAAAATATATTAAAAAAATGAAAAATAAAATATCTTGTAGTTCAAACTGAGGGTAAAGCTCCCACATCCTCCCAAGGAGCACTGAGACTGGTGTGGCCTCGCCCTGCTGCCCTCCGCAGTCTTCTGTTGTTAGGTTGTTCTGTGCCCTCCTTGGTGGGCTGAGCTGCCCACACACTGGCCTTTTTTCTGTTCTTCAGATGCCCTTTGTACCTGTTATGTTCTTCCTATTAAATTCCTACTCATCCTGCAATCACGAATATAAATTCTCTAAGAGTTCTTCCCTGGACCCCAAGCCTCAGTCCCTATCCCAGGTGAGATTGGCTCCATTGGGTGCCCTCTGCTCTGCCTCATCACCAGGTCACAGTTGTGCTTAATCCTTTGTGTGATAGCCATCTCCTCTGCCCAACTTTAAAGCTCCAAGAAGGCAAAGACCATTCTTTTTTGTTTATTGTTGAATCATTCAATCAAATATAACTGCTTGGCTGTAGTAGTATTCAGCAAATATTTGTCAAGTAAATGAACTAAGTTTTGAATGGACATAGGTATTTAACTCCTTGAATTAAAAATGTTGAGCTAATGTAGATTAATTGGCTGTACAGCCTTATTTAGAATTATGAATACTAAGACTCAAAAGGTATAAAAATTAATAATCCTAATATTTTTAATTAAAAATGTACTTATTCATTAAACATTTATTGAACAGCTACTCTCTATAAAGGATTGTTGACTGGGTTCCACAGTTTTAATAATTTGTTTACATATTCAAAAATACAATTACTTTCTTTCCTTACTTTGATGTCTTTTTATTAGAATTTAGACTATTATTTTGATGGCGTATCTGAGAATTCTCATCATAATCAATATTTTTGTTCATAATTGATAGTTGCTGTAAGAGTAGATACTCAATGTATTTTTTATTTTTCACAGAACCTACCACAAGGAGGACATATGGATTAGTCACCTAATAAATAACAATTGGTTGCATTGAAAATTGTGTTTTTATAGCTTGTTCAGTACTTTTATAAATGTTTCTTTTACTTTTCATTTGATTCAAAAGAAATGGGTACTTTTATTTTCTTAACCTTACTTTGTATGGGCCAAATATTTACACATTAATTTTTTTAATAGTTTATTGATTTTTAAAGTGGAAGGAAAAGGGAGAAAAAGATAAAAACATCAATGATGAGAGAGAATCACTGATCTGCTGTTTCCTTCATGCCCCCTACTAGGAACAGAGCCCAGAAACTTGGGCATGTGTCCTGACCAGGAATCAAACCTTGACCTCCTAGTTCATGGGTGGACACTTAACCATGGATCCACACTGGTCAGGCTTGAAAGAATTTTTAAAACACGTAATACCTGACTATTTAGTCAGGAGCTCTGACTTCTTTTTCCTTAGATTATCAAATAAAACAATGATAGCAGCCAACACAATAGCTGTTT